TATTCAGTTGTAGCAAGTTAACGAGCTATAATGATTTTTTTTAAGTCCAAGTAAGATTACAATTAAGTGCATCTGTCTAAATAAGGGCGTATAATAACGTCCAATTTATAATTATTCGATTTCCTTTTAACGAATACTTTCTTGCATGATATATATTAAAAGTATTAATAAAATAAATTTATAAAATGAGGTAGGTATCTACGCCTATGGCAGATCAAACAAAATTGTCGGTAAAGGTTCCGAACGAGTTTTTTCGAAATTGAAAATAATAAAAAATGAAAAAAGAACAACGATGCTGCAGAAAAGACTCGATGCTTTATCAATATTATATACAGGGTGTTGATTTGAAAACGAACAGGATTTAATATTGCCTCTACCAATGATAGTATGAAATGGCGAAACACTTCAATGTACATATCAAGGGGCATTTTAATTTTTTTGTCAGAAGTACCTATCCTCACCAATATGTGGAATGTATCTATTATCTAAATTTAAATAATGCAACCTATTAAAACGGGTTGCATTCACCGCCGCCTCACTTCATTTCTTCTTTTCTTTATTTATTTCTTTATTTACATTTCCCACTACAAAACATGAAATAATTTAACTTTTTTGTGGCTTCCGAACAAACAAGATTCTCAGTTTGCTTAGTACTGTAATTTTTTGCAGTTCTTTATTTTCTGACTCGTGTTCATTTTATTTATTTGCTGTGCTTCTTCGATTAGTAAAATAAGCTGTGAAAGTTATTTACATCATACATAAACAATTTCAATAGTTTTTAATTGTTTCTCAAGTTGTAACCGTTTCTTAAAATTGTTTACACTACTGTTGAACGTATAGAAATTATTTTTATTTATGGAGCCCAATATCGTCGATTTGCAAGAACGGGGTCCATATTTAACGAAATACATCCGGAAAGAAATGTTGGACAAAAGTACATTCGTGAGTTTGTAGCTAAATTTGAAGAAACGATCTGTTTGCAATAAGAAAAGGGTTGAGCGAAGATTGCTCAGAGGTTCTTGGTCAAGTTGCTATGGGTCCCACTGCGACCCTTCGTGAAGTTGCACAACAAACTAGACTGTCGCATGAGTCAGTCAGAAAAGTATTGAAGCTTTACAAATTTCATCCATACAAACTGCTAATGACTCAATAATTAGGGGATGATGACCCGGACAGACGTACTGAGTTTTGTGCGAAATTATGACCAATAGGTTTATTAATAGGTCCATGTTAATAAAAAATATATGTTTCAGTTAAAAATGCAGTTTTTATTTAAGTGGCAAGGTCAACAAACAAAACTATCGTTATTGGAGCGACTTCAATCCACACATTATTAGAGAGGGGCATAAGCAATATATAGTGAAACCTGTGTAAAACGGAATCGCGCGGTCGTGCACCGATTTTCCAGCATATACAGGATTCCGCGTTACACAGGGTAGATAAAAAATTGCACATAGTAGATTTAAAAAAGTGATGATTTTATTAAAAAAAATCTAATATACGTACATTTAATATATAGTTGTTATTATTACTATATACCTACATATTTTTATTTATTATTAGAAACAATATAAATTATTATTTATTCCACATTTCTATCAATGTAAGTTGTTTTTTATTCTTTTGTAATACGTAAGATGATTCCATGAATGTCCTTAATTCTAAAATCTTCTTTCTCATCGGTTCGCTCTCTATTCTTTGGGAAAAATCCTCTAACGCTGCAACACTCCTCAAAGTTTCAGAAAATTTTTTTATCCGATCGGATTCTTCAACTTCTGTTCCTGTAGATAAAAATAATAATTTAAGAACAGTTCGTTTTGAAAAGCTAATGGGAAAATAATTTTTTCTATCTGTTATTTTTGTGATGGTAACTGAAATCTTCCTATCTTATTTTTATTATGTATTTTAACTTTATTTCTACTTGGCCAAATGCCCAATTAAAATGGAAAGAATAAATAAAAAGTTGTTTATTTTTTTAGAGAATTAGAAAAATCGCTTACCAATTCCAATCCCATCATTATCGTCTGCCACAGTAGTTTCCACGGCAGTTTTTTCTAACACCAGTTCTTCTATGGACTGAAATCCAGCATTTGTTGTAACGGCTTCATCTAATGTGATGTAATCATGAACATTACAACCGGGATTAATTTCAGTAATTAACTCTTCGACTTCTTTTGTACTTTCGTCAATTTCGTCAACATTTTCGATTAGGTCAACGTCTCCATCTTGCTTGATTCCACATGCCGCAAAACATTTTTTAACACAATCAGGTTTAATATTATTTACTGAATAATCAATGCATCTGATAGCATCCAAAACTGATATTTTTTTAGCCAAATCTCCTGCTGATTGAGAGAATCTCATATTCGCAATAATTGACCGCAGCACTTGTCTTCTGTAATTCATTTTGAAGTTTTGTATAACTCCATGATCGAGAGGCTGTGTTTGACTTGTGGTGTTTGGTGGTAGAAAACACAATTTTATATTGGATAGTATTATTTTGGGGTGACACGTTGCATTATCCAAAAATAGAAGGATGTGTCGATTTTCAAATTTCATTTTTTGATTTAAAATTTTTAGCCACTGTTCCATAAGAACTGATGTCATCCATGCTTTTTTATTTGCTCGCCAATAAACTGGTAGCTGAGGCACATTGGTATTGTTAAAACATCGCGGTCTGAGGGATTTTCCAATAACTAGAGGTTTTCTATTTTTCCGTCAGCAAAGGCGCAAAACAAAACGGTTAACCTTTCTTTAGATTGTTTGCCTCCTTGACATTTTTCACCTTTAAAGCACATTGTCTTGTCCGGCAGCGCTCTATAAAAAAGGCCAGTTTCGTCACAATTAGCAATGTCTTTTAGGGTATATCCTTTAATTAAATCTGTAATGTGCGATGTCCATTCAGTCACAGATTCCATGTCGACGTCCTTAGCTTCACCGCAGATCTGATTAAATCTTATGTTATGTCGTGTTCGAAAACTTTCCAGCCATCCATTCGAAGCTTTAAAATCTACTTTTCCAAAATGGTTTGCAATTTCTCTTGCTTTTTCTTGAATAATTGTTCCAGATACACGAAGATTGCGAGACCTTGCATCCATAAACCATTCCAAAACTGTTGAATTTACGTCGTCGTGATGTGATTCCTTTGGCTTTCTCTTAATATCGCCATTACCACCACGCATCCACTCTTCTTTAATTTTTTCCTTGTTTTTCAAAATTTCATACACTTGCGTTTTTCCGCACTTAAATTGAATAACCAATTGCTTTGGAGTAAGTTTTTTTTGGTCACTACATTTAATTAAGTCCATTTTAGATTTTAGCGATAATGTATTCGTTTTTTGGTTTGCCATTTTGAAATGTTTGCACTTTCACGGATAAACTCAAACTGCCGTACCTACACAATACTGGTTTATTTGTGTATTTACTGCTTTTGTACCTAAATTTCTGTGATAATGGTTCTAAGTATTGATAATAGTTCGCCCTTATTATGGGGCTTTCCGAAATCATAAACTAATTATGTAAACATCTATAAATTCTTTTATACCTGCAAAGCAATAACATAAGTAGGTTCCGGCTTAACAGATTAGGGAAATTCCGTGTTCGCGTTAGACAGGGTTCCGGCTTATAAGCAATTTTTACATTACAATATGTAGGTAATCGCCAAAATTTCCGTCATACACAGGATTCCGTGTTACACAGGTTCCGGCTTACTCAGGTTTCACTGTACTCAAAAAATAAATGTTTGGGCGGGTATATCAGGCAATACTATTATCGGTCCCCTCTTCATAAATGCAAATCTAAATGGTCAAATTTATGCCGAAATGTTAGACAGAGCTATAGAACGTATAATTCATTAAGTAAAAAATCAAAGGACCGCTAATGGAAAACTTGCTCTAGATGAACATTTGCTGCACTTCCAACAGGACGGAGCACATTCTCATTATTTACATCCAGTGAGAGAGTGGTTGGATAATCATCATAATCATCGGAGCAGTGGACTGGTAGGAGGGGACCCATATAATGGCCACCTCGGTAACCAGATCTGACACAGCTGGATTTTTCCTATGATATGCTAAAAACGTTGGACTATTTTCGACGAATTTAATGCCCGAAAAGTCGCAAGTGGTTTTTGTTGTATGTAATACCTACTCCACGTATCTCTTTCCTCCTCCATACATATTTTAAGGTGCGTAATAATCTATCTCGTTGTATTACATTTTTTTTAAAGGCCCATACTAGTTTAGACGTGGATTACGTAGGGCATCAAGTGTCTTAATCCGGCACTGCTTATACCCTATGGTTCGTATACCTTTTTCTAATCTAAACCTATTCTTGTACTAAGTTTCAATTTTTTCGATATATTCTATTTTAAACAACTATTAAATTAATCTATGTGTTAAATTTGACCAAGCTAATTTTAGATCTCATGTATTTTATAGTTTTTTTTTTAATGTATAATCTCTAAAGTTGAATAATTATTTTTTTTTTATTTTATGCATATAAATCATGTATAAATTATGCATCGTTCAAATATGTTTAAATGGCATCGCTTTGCAATAAATGCAATATAAAATTTTTCTGTAGAATTATAATTCTCATTTCTCATATTTACATTTACCAGATTTGGATTAAGCGACTATTATTTTTTTTAATATGAATAGAGCTTGCGAGAAAACAATTTGAATCGAATTTTAAGAAATAAAAAATAAGTTTAGGTACTAGGTGGTAACCTAAATGGACGGGCTGAGAAAATTCAGTTGTAGAAATATAAAAATAATATTTTCTTTATATTTTGAACTAAATTTTTGAGCAGTATTCGTAGGCGACACTATTTCAAATAAATAAATCAAACAGAATAGTGTGGTTATTTTGAAAAACGCAACTTTCAATTAGTACCTACCGATACATATTTTTTAAATATCTGTATACTGGGTGTATAATAATAGTAGTCTTAAAATTCTTATAAAAACTCGATAATTATTTTTAAACCTTTTTTAATCCTTACACTATATAAAAAAATATTTGTGTTACACAATTTTCCGTTCAAGTATGAGAAACATCACAATAGGTTTTTACAAATGTACATTATAAAAATGTTACATTTCAAAATAAACTAACAAACAAATATTTTATAAAATTACAACTGAAATAAGATGGAGCTGCATATTTTTTTTTTCGAACCAATATAAATAAAATAAAAATAAAACCACAAACTTTTTAATTGTTAGAAATATCATTCAATTTCAGACATTCTATAAATAACATTGAACAAATTTATTGATTTTTTTCCATTTCAGCCTGCGCCAATGATATTTCATGACCCCATTTATAATGAGAACCATCTCCATTATTTTCCACTACTTTCTGTATTAGTTCACTGGATGGTGCTTTCATGTCATACGCCCAACCAATTTTTTGGAAAAAGTTTAACCAGGCAGTTGTTATATTCAACATACTACCTAGTTCTGCAGCCCTATAATCCCAGGGGAATGTATGATGGTAATTGTGATAGCCTTCTCCCATCGCGAAGAGCGACACTGCTAAATTTTCAGAAGGGAAGATTTTTCTGGAAAAGAATAATCAGATTAATCATCTACGTATATTTAATAAAATTAATAAAAGTTACAAAATGCATTAGATTACAGAAAAAATTATATAATTAGAATTAGACAATTTTTCATTTTGGATATAAAGTTTTGAAAAGACTTAACACCTTGACTGAGTTATTTGCGATTCAAATTAAGTTTGTCACCTATAAGTAGGATGTTTGTTTATTTACATGTGTTTTTGTGTGTTTCATATAGCGTTAATTTAAGTTTAGATTTCGTGCTTTCATCATAAATATAATATTTATCATGTGTATGACTTAATTTGTTGGAAATATTCACATATTTGTTGCTACACGAACATCTAGAAATATTTATTTACTAAACCCAGGATATGATTTATTATGTGGTTTAAAGGACATTTCAGGTACCTACCAAACATTTTATTATTGATGAACTTATTTAAAAATCTTACTATCCTTATTCTTATATTATGAAGTGAATTGTGTACTACTTTGTATACATGTAAATGGTAATAAAATTGCCACAAATCTAATTGCAGTTGATTCTAAACAAAATTTTGCAAAATCTCAATAATGTGAATTTGTAGATATCCATTTATTGTAAGGAAAAAAATTTTACGACTTACGCTTGGAAAATAATGAACACTTCAGTTTTGATTTTGACATCAGTGGAGTAGTGAGCTCAACTACCCGGGGCACAATACCTTTGACAGTTTTTGTTAAAGCATTTTTACTTTCCTACCTGTATACAGATATAAGGAAAGTATAGGAATCATGATTTTTTTCGACCTCGAGTTGTCGACGGATTTTTACGTTTTGAGGTCCCCTGAATCCGTTTTGACTATTTTCGCGATGATGTCTGTGTGTGTGTGTGTGTGTGTGTGTGTCTGTGTGACAAGGATCTAGCTGTAGCAGATCGGATTTGTAGTTATGATTCGAAAGCTTGCATATTTTCAAAAACTCTCGCGTCTTTTTATTCGAAATTCGATTTGACATCATAACCTAAAATTTTATGTTTGTTGCTTTTTTGTGTAGGTATTCTGTTTCGAACTTTGCAGTGTTTTTTATTGTTTAATAGCAGATCAGACTCAACATTTTGATTCGAACGCAGTTACATTTTCATTAAATGGAATCGCATATGAACATGGCAGGTTATTATTTTTATAATTAGAGAGTTTCGAAGTAAATGTTAAAACAGTATATAACATTTTTTACACATATATTAAGTATGTGGTCAAAGTTTAAGGTGTTATTCAAGTTTAAAAAAAAAATCATATAAACATAGGTCCTAAACGACTAAATTTTGAAAATAGAGGTTGTTGACAAGTAAAAAAAATGTTTTTCCTAAACAACTAGTTGAAAACTAGTATTAAATTGCAACTTTGTATTACATAAAGAGGAATGTTTTGAGCAGAATTGTTTTCTGTAATGAGGTACGCAGGGGTAACTATAGATTTAATAAAAAAAAAATAGAGCCGTTTATACGAACCTCTTGTTTGATCACCATGTATAGGGAATTTTTTTATTAATGAAGCTTTCTTGTTGCTTTTGGGTTTAATTATTATTGGCGAATAAAAAAAAACCTAAAAAACCTAAAAACCTAGGTATAAAAAACCTGTACCTGCCGGCCCTGCCTGTGGGATACCCAAACTATCAGATTCCTCAGTTGAGGGTTTCATAGGACGTTGTTTATTTTTTTCTTTGAAGAGTTAGTTGCAAAAAGTCTTCTTTGAGGTTCTTTGCATTTGTTACTGGGACGTTACAGGAACAAAGGCAGATTTATGCGAATTTCCACCAGCAGCGAGGGTTGGCTTCAAAAGAGCTAATATGCTTTTAAAAACATTTATTTCGTCCAAAGACGTTGCAGCCAAAAGTTCTTCTTAAAATGATTGTAAAATTTGCTGTTGCTGCTGTTGAATTTGTTGCTGCAAATCACACTTAGAAGTTGATTTCACACGTCATACAAAACAAAAAGACTTAATTAACAATAGAAAATACTACACAGTTTGTAAAATATTACACAAAAACAGCGTTCACTTATTGAAATAAATAAATACGAAATAACTAGTCTAATAAACAATAACTCTAAAGTTAACAAAACATTACATACACAAAAACACTGTCTTCTTTTTAAAACAAAACAAACACGAAATTTTAAGTTATGATGTTAATTCGAATAAACAGATGTGAGAGTTTTTGAGAATACGCACGCGTTCGAATCATAACTACAAATCCGATCTGCTACAGCTAGATCCTTGTGTCTGTGTGTCGCATAACTCATGAACCGATACACAGAAAAACACCAAATTTTAAATTTAAGCTTTGTTCCAGCGTCTAATGAGCTGATTGGATTTTGGACAGAGTCGAAACATCTTTATAGGGGGTAATTTTTATATTTTATGGAATATATCTGTTATTTACGTTTGGGGAAGAAAATTCTTTAAATAAAAGTTACTTCTTATATTATTATCTAAAATTTTTGTTTTATACAAAATTTTCCTAAAATTATTCGAGAAATTTGACAAAATGTAAAAAAAAAATTTTTTATAAAAATTGTTCAAACAAAAGTTATTTGTAATATAATTTTCTATAATTTTTATTCTTTACATAATTTCTCTAAAATGGACCGTATTCGAGATATTTGAGAAAATGTGTAAATTTCGAAATTTGAAGAAAACTCAAAAACGGATAAAGAAAAAACATTAAATTTTAAACTTAAGTTTTATTTCGGCCTGACGTGAAATGATTAGATTTTGGACAAAGTCGGAACATCTAGGGGGTATTTTATGAGAGGCCGTTTTAATATTTTATGGAATATATATCTGTTATTTATGTTTGGAGAAAATAATAGTTACTTCTAATATTATTATCTATAATTTTTGTTAAATGTCAAAATTTCCTGAAATGGTCCGTATTCGAGAAATTTGACAAAATGTGCAAAATTCTGATTTTTATGAAAATTGTTGAAGTAAAAGTTGTTTGCGATATCGATCTCTATAATTTTTATTTATACATGATTTTCTAAAATGGACCGTAATGAAAAAAAAAATTGTAGGAAAAGTGCTAAATTTCATTTTTTTAGTATTTTCGTTTTCAATGAATATATCTATAGAAAAATGTTTCGAGGTAGATGTATGTGGAAAAAATATATATAGTTTATCCTCTTAAACATTTATGGAGGTGCTGCAATAGGTTGTACAAAATAACCGGAAAGAGCCTATAATAACTAGATAGGAAAGTCATGTGTTGGACACATCAGATTTTTTAATAATTCTCATCGTAACATTGAACGTGAGAAAAAGATATGTTTTCAAATATTCCAAAACAAAGATTGGATGTTGTTTAGCTGCAGTAACTCCTACTAAATTCAATGAATAATTATCAGAATTTACAAATAATGCTTTATGATTTTTTTCCATTATTCTTTGTTGAACGCCAGATATGTGACCTGCCATCACGGTAGGTAGCATTATCGTAACATTGTTTGACAATGAAATTTCATCGGAATTTAATTTCTCTAAAATTGTATTTTTGATCGAGGCTGCATCTATAGCATGTATTTCAATAAAAACCAAATAAAGATTCTTTGATGGAAACTTTTTTGATAAAATCAACATCTAAATACCTAACGACTTGGGACATTTGTTCTCGATGAGAGATGTCAGGAGTTGAATCAAACAAAGGTCCATAATATTTTTTTTTATGTCGTTTATTAGTTGATTTCGAACTCTAGAAGCCAGAAGATTAATTAATTCATTTTGAATCTGTGGTGACAAATATGAGACAGTTTTTGGAGTTTCTGTGGCATGTTTAAGATGATTTGCTAGTAGCGGATCAAACTGAGTAAAAATAGTAGGTTTCCTACATTTGTACCATCTTAAAGTGCTAGTTTCTCAACATGACCACGTAGAGTAAGATTTTGTATAATTAAATACCTCATGCAAGCTAATATTCTTTGCAATATATTTGACTGAATGTTCGCTTCTAATGATACATCAATTCCCGTTCTACTTATTAATCTTCTTGTCATTTCCTAGAAACGAAAAAACGCTGTACTTTTTGTGTGTCTGAGAAGTATCTATATTAAAAAATAGACGATCCTTTAGTTGTTATTTTCTGGATAATTTTTAAAAAAGTGTACAAATTTTACTTTGTACACTGCAAATATTTATTATAACATATTATTTTATCAGACAAATCAAGAAAGGAGATAATTTATGTAACCACACAGCGAATCTATGCTAAAAGTGCTGACAGACACAGGTCGAGTCAGCCCTGCCAGTAGAAAAGACATGCCATTTATATTATGAATATATTATTACGGTTTGATTTAGACTATTAGTGTTCCTTTTTTCCTTTTTTATTTACGAATTAGCATTTTTTATATTACACTGGCACTAAATTTAAAATATATTTTCCAGAAATCAATTGTAATAAAAATAAAAATTTTCCAGCAATTTTTTGTTTTGCGGACCATTTGGCGCCCCTTTGTGAGTAGCGCCTGGGGCATGATGCCCCCCTTGTCCCCTCTCCACGCCACTGTTTGACATTCACACCATATACGTAGATCGCAAATTTCATTTTTAATATAAACACTATCACATACTATAAGAAATAAACAAATTTAAAGCTCACAAGTAAGAAAATCTTCGAATTATAATTAATACAAATTAAAATATAAACAGTGAACAGGAACGCCAATGTTGCCAAATGATAAACTGATTTTAAAATAAAATTAATAAATGAACTGAAATTTAAAAACTCAATACAATAAATCGGTTTTATAAAAAAATCTTTAAATAAATATAGAGTATGATTACATATTACTGGACACAAATTGTGCTACTTAAAAAAAAGGTCTTATCCACTTTTTCAAGGGCTAAAAATTCAAGGGAGTAGCGAAATTTCACGAAAGGACTGTGGAGGACTGGCGGCTGATCCCGTTAGAAGGCGGTAATTGGGCGAGTGACTCCTCTTTTATAGTTATATTTTGTACTCTTTGGTTTTACTAAACTAAAACGTCCAATTTGCGTATTTAGGACGAATTTAATTAGTAAATGGAGATTGGATAAATATTCTTGATAATTATGGTTTTGGTAGATAGGACGGCATTGAATGTAAGAAACAAGTGCTTTATGGTGTAGTTAGGACGTTTTTGGCTAGGAAAACTGTTGTAGATGCATGTCTACATCACAAATATGCCTTTAACTCAAACACTGAAATAGGAAGTTTCAGTTTAGCAGGGCAGATCTGCTATAAATTTCATTACTCTTTCTACTCGCGTATTTTTTCCATTTTTGTGTTTTAATTTTATTTCTTGTCTTATTCATACTTCGTTTGCTTTTTATATTTGTTTATTTTACTAAATCCCAACATTTTTTTGTTACTGTTATTACATTTCTGACAGTTTTCCATCGATTTTCTAGTTTCATAATGTTTATATTCTCTTTAATTTTATTTATTTTTTTTAAAAAAAAATTTTATTGTATACTTTAGCTGTATCTTTTTCTCTAAGTTTGTGTGTTCTGATTTTTTTTTATTTAATTTTTATTATTTATACTTGGTCTAATGTTTTTATTTTTTTTGTTACTTAATTATATTTTAAAAGAACTAAATAGTGATCCGTGCTTAAAGCCGGACCTTTATACATTTTATAATATTATAGATACGTACAAGTAACTACCAAGTAACTACCAACCTTTTAATTGTTTATGTGGTTAAGTTATAACGCATAAAATTAAAATCTAAACGACTCATTTGAGGTATTTCCCCACTTTAGGCTGAAAGTTTTAGTATCAAAAAGCGCAAATTTGAAATTCAGTTTTTGTGCTCTTCTTAAATATGGAAACAAATTTTACAAATCAATTTCTATGTTTTTGCAAATTGTTACATTAAATTAAAAGTTGTTTTCACATGAGTAACAATAAAATGATTTTTCTTTCTTCTGCTGGCGAGCATAACCAGCAGTTTCATATTTATTATAAAATAAATTCATATATTTTTATTGTCATGAAAAAAAATGAATTAAAACGAAACTTAAGTTAAAGTGGTTTACTTACTTATCGTATGGATGATTGCCCCAAATGTGAGCAAAGCTATTTACTGCCCATGTAGAGTTAAGGGATATTATATATCTGACAAAACAGATAGTAGTGATACAATAGTACCATTCTTCTCCAAAGAGGTAGACAGGTATGGCAGTTGGAATGATGAAACAGAAAAATAATTTGATCCAGAACCAATACCTGAAAAAAAAATTGTTAAAAAATTACTTAAGGAAATAGTAATAATTGAATATAAAAAGAACATAATATATTAAGCCCGTAAGGTCGAAGTGGTCGAGGAGTAAAAAAATAGTGTATTACCATTGTAGATACAATGGTATTACGTACAATGTAAAAAAAGTTTATGTACTGTCAATATATTAATATACTCGCTTCACCAACAGCAGAGAGTAAACAAATAAACCACAAGCGCGCGAAAATGTACTTAAGTGTTATGTAAAATTAATTGCGATAACTTCCTTTCTTCTATTTGTGCCACCCTTTCAAGGTAGCTCGGGCACTAGGGTTGCCACCTGTCCTTTTTTTGAAAAGGACAGTCCTTTTTTCAAACAAATTGTCCATACTCTTTTTTACAGCACATGTCCTTTTAAAAGGACATGTTTTTTATAAAAATATAAGCAAGGACTAGGGGTATATTAAATAACTGATGAGGACCTTTTTGTTTTAGAAGCTCGCCAAAAATATTTTAACCGGCTCCCTGTCGTCACCGTTGTCCTTTATTCACTTTCAAAAAGGTGGCAACCCTATCGGGCAATGTGAATAGTTTGCTGGGTGGTCTCCCAGGCAGTTTACGCACGTGCTGTGCTGTTCGTATTTGAAAAAAGTAAAGCGCTTCTCAAAGTTACACATGAGTAGCGTTTTGCTGTTCGCACTTCAAGTTTATTTCTTATAATTCTGGAATTGGCCTCAATATATTCTAATAGAGTTTATATGATCCCAATATTTAGACCAATCAGCATTTATGATTTATAATTATGACAGCTTACAACAAAAATTAAAATCATTTACGAATAGCTAAATCGTCTAGCATCAGAGAATATCATAATAGCATAATAGCGTTTTGGTGACCGAACTTTGTTGAGAAGTCCGCTTGGCGCTTTCGTTGCTATGCGTTTTCGGCTGAAAGCTAAAAAATAACCCCCATGGTCTGCTGCACACTTTAAACATTTTGAGGGTCGTCCGCAATAGGATGTGGCATGCCCCCACGTTTGACAATTATGACATTGCATAATGACTGTTGTAGTTTTGCTTAACTCCGACATGATTCCACAACTCTTACGTTTTTATTTAGGAAATCCATGCTTATTACTGGATGAGTCACAATTAGAAAGAAGGTCGAGTCTTCGTGGTCATTTGGAAGGCCTTTCTGGCTTGATATCGTACACCTCCAGGTCTTCTTCGATGTCCTGTACAGTTGTTCCTGTTGCAAGCCCTTTTAAGCACAAAGGCGTGGGATTTTTCAGCCCTATTCGTATATGTATGGTAGGGTATTTTGGCTTTTTTTTATACTGCCTAACATTTCATTATAATCATCCTTCTCCTCCACGTATACGATTGTAAAGTTATTTATATATTTTACGGTGTACTTCCTCTTAATAATTTTCTTTAGATCGTTTGTCAAATTTGCGTGAATATCTGTCCTGCCCTCGATAACCTGATCTTCAGTCTGTGGGTTTTGTCGCTTAAGTCTCTACCCTTGCTGCTTGTGGGGCTCTGGGTTTTTTCGTTTGTCTTTTTTCCGTGTTTTGTATTGTTTGTTGGGGTTCATCAGGCTGCGAATCTGTATCACTTAGAACTTCGTATCTGTTTTTAGTTTAAGGGATCTAGCTGCTTTTTCCTTTAACAAAATTTCTTGGGCGCCTCCTAAATTCGCTGCTTCCTCCACCTACTGCACCATCTTCCATAGGTTCAGAGTATTCTAGGTTTTCAGGCGTTGGCTCTGTTATCCTTTTCCTCTTTTGTAAGTGTACCACAGGCGGTGTGATTTTAGATGTAACTAGGGAAGGTACTGGGGGTGTACTACCTCTTGTTCTGTGTCTGAGGTGGGAGGTGTGATGGAGGTTAAGGTGTAGTCCTCCTCTGAGGAGGATTCAGTTGGTCCAAAGTTCATAATAATCGTGGTAATTTGCGATGGAAGTGATGTGGTGCTATAGCCTAGGTCAAATTTTCTAATTTTTTTTATTTCAAGGTTATTTCCTTCTAAGGGTGTTTGATTATTGGATAGGTCGTTTTGCCCGTAGTCTAATAGTCTCACAATAACATTATCAGGGACCGGCAGTGTTTTATACACCTATTCGAATTCTTCTAACTTTCCAGTTTCTGAGTTAAATTTTTCTGCTGTTGGGGGTTGGTACCCGGAATCGGTGTTGTCAATTTCACTTTCTATCGAGTATTTCGAATTTTCTAATATTTCCCGCAGCTTCTCCACACTATCATAATGCTTGTATTCTCCACACTTTCTTTATGTCGCGTCGTCTAGTAATTTTGTCGATCTCGTCCTCTGCGCCGGTCTCGGCTTCAACTGCGCTCTCCTCAGCTTGGCTGGATGCCGGCTCTGGCTCTTTTGGCGCTTTCTCCAAACTTTTTTGGAGATAAATTTTAGCCAAGGGGTCTCTCCGGTAGTTGGTAGTTGACCCCTGGTTAGTTGTATTGGAGTTTCTCTTCATGGTACTAACGGTTTAATATGGGTGAATGTTCTTTTGCCTTGAAAATTCTCGGACTGAGCTGGCCGGTGTGTTTCCTCGACACATTAACATTAAACTTGGGCAGTTTTGTTGATACAATTTTCTCACGTAGTTTTTTAGAGTACTGAGTTTCATACCCTGTTTTGTTGGGCCCCGAGGGCTTCGCCATACACGATGGAACTACCAGCGTTTGGGATTTAACTTAACATTGCACTTAAAGAACGGTATGTTTAAAATGTAAACAATATCTCACGGTGATAAATTGACCTTGACGTTTCTCGCAAAACAGTTATTTGTGGACCGGTACAACTACTGTCTTGGCGAGTCCAAAGCGTACTGCCTAACGGCCTAATTCAAAAAATATTTTTGTTTATCAATATTTTACGAACTATTATTTTCACCTCGGTTAAATGTTTTTCTATCGATTTCTTAAATGTTTTCCGCAATAAAATTAATGAATTTTTAATTTGTTAATACTTTTAGAAAACATAAACTCATTTTTATTTTAAATTTACTAATTACAGTACGAACTTAACGTAAATATTACAAATGCTTTAATGTTAATTCCAATTTCTTGAATGTTTACCATAAAAATATTAACGAATATTATTATTTAATTGAAATAATTTGAAAATTCGGAAACAAATGTCAACAATCCCCCTACGAATTATTAAGACCATTTCCGGACCCCAAACAAATATTTGTAGATTTGAAAAACGACCTGTCGTTGTTGGGGGGTCGAACCCTGATATTCATGTACGTCGGACATGTAACCTTACCGTTAGACTATCAACGTTGACTGTCGAGATTCCTAAACGGAAGTTTGATGTGTTAGTTCAAATACTAAATATATTTTGTTTAATTACATATTTTTAACTTACTTGTGATGGAACTGAATCATAGGATCGTCAGTAATGTCGCTCATATCGAGCGTACGTCCTTTACGAAGGACATCTGGGTGTTTTTTCATCATGAGCCAACCTACATGTGAAAAGAAGAAGCCTCTAGATGCATTATGGGGGTCAGCGTCAGTTTCGCTGAATTTATGATGTACTCTGTGGTCACGAACCCAATCGTATAATTTGTTCTAAAACAAGTAATTTGGATTTAGATTTACTGGTTGTAATATACAGGGTATCCCGAAATCAGACGGTCATATTTTAACTGCATAATCTATATCCTAAAATAGAAGTAAAAGTTCATATAAACATAGGTTTGAAAACGTTTAGTTTCCGAGATACAGAGTGTTAAAAGTGAAGTCCTGATGACACATTTTTGTAAATATTTTCTAAAATTTCTTTATTCACCTGTTTTACAAAGTTGAAAAAAATAAAATTTCTGATTCCACAGGCCTATTAACTATTATTCGCACTTTCAAATAAGAAGATAAACTTAGTATGACATTTTCAAACGCTTTTCTCTTGATAATGATGCGTCCTAGCAAGATGCAACAAAAGTAGCTTTATTCTAAAGAAAACATTGGTTTTCCAAATTTTGTAATCAAAAATGTTAAAAACTGTCAATAAAAAAACTTACGGCAATTTTACCCACCGCCCCCCTAATTTACCCACCAATGAAGATGATCAAAAACTGGGGCTTAATCCATTATATAGAGCGTAAAAAGTTTAGCACTTGTACCAAATTTCACTTAGTTATTTTTAAACGTTTGGAAAATGTGTCATCAGGACTTTTAACCCCCTGTATCTCGAAAATCAAACGTTTTTGGACCTATGTTTATTTTATGAATTTTTACTCCTATTTTAGGATGCAGATGGCGCTGTTAAAATATGACCGTCTAATTTCGGGATACCCTGTATAGGTTCGGTAAAATCCAGTAAAGGTCAATGGTTTGCCGAGAGCACAAAGAAATCTAACAAATAATATGAGAGGAGCGAAGATAAGTATGCTTAAATATGTCTCCCATTATATATAGCCTCTCTTGGATTTCGACCAGCGTACTGGTAGATTAAATTAGATACGGTTGGGACTGTGGTGAACCTTATCATATCTATTCTGGATATCTTTTAACCATAGGATAAAGTACTAGTTTGGTCGTTTGTATTAGACTCCATAGGCTAAGAAGTAGCTCTTAGTTTTTCTTCTTCAATTGTAAGAAATATGTCTTGATAGACCTTCCCAGTAGTACAATACGCGTATTGCAGGTTCCTCCTCTTAATGAATAAGTTGGTACAAGATTTCTTTTGTCAGGCCGATATTATGCATATGTTAATAGGTCTACTTGTATTTTTCCTATTGTGTCTTCGTGGATACTCGGTGAGTTTTGATTATGGTCCTTTTAAGAACTTTCTGGCCTTTATATGTCCTGGTGAATTATTCTACCGTTCTCAAGATTTGTTTAACATCTGCTTTTTGCATATTTCGATGGTTGTCTTTGTAATACCACACAAGGTTTCTAAGCCAAAATGAGCCTTTGAGGATCCTCGGCCTAGTAAATGAACCTCTTTACTGCCTTTACATCCTCTGTAGCCTGGTACCCAGGCTACGGTATGTCTATTTGGACTACCCAGCTCTGTTAGGGTATCCAAACAGGCGTACACAAGTTTTAGGCGTAGCGGTAATGCTGTACTTTTGAAGAATGTACTTCCCATTGATCCTCTCATTTATTAAGTTTCTTTTTGATCTAAGTGAACTGCTGGCTTGCGTTTGAATTCTACTGAATCTCTATAATGTAAAAGATCCCACACTTTTCTTATGTAAGGCAACATTTTCTGTAACTTTTGGTATGTTATTGTACTCAACCTAATAACCAAAAGGGACCAACTTAACGGTATCACTATTTTTCGAGATACGGTGTGTTAAAGTTGAAAATTGCCCAGTTTCTCGGAATGTATATTTTCAAATTTACGAGCTGGATTAAATTTCTGTTACATACACATACATGTTTTAGTAATATATTAGTACACACGTATAATTAAAAATATTTTTCCTACGACCACTTAGGAAAGTGACACATATCACACTATATAGACCTATGGAAAGTGCCCTATATCACACGCGTATGAATAAGAATTTACTTTCCACCCAAGTGAGAATATGCTACTTTCCGCAGTAGCTGTCAGAAAATGTCAAACACATAATTTCTATTTTGATCTATGTAATGTCCATATTAATACTAAAATCGATATGATTGTTAAATTATTGTAAATTAGATCCTAGATATTTATCTTTAACAATTATTTTTAAAATAATTTTAAAATAACTAAGATATATTTGCTTTTTATTCTGGTTAAACACATAAGCGATTAGATCAATCAATTACCGTAAGGCCTGTTAGCTCAGTTGGTTAGAGCATCAACTTTGCAATTTGAGACCGTCCAACGACCGCGATCGAATCCTGGCCGTGCCAGAATTTTTTTTTTATTTTTTTTTTTATTTTTTTTTTATTTTTTTTTATTTGTTTAGAAATTATGAAAATTTAATAAATACGATTATTGTTGATTATTTTTTTAAATACATTTTAATTATTATAATAATCTGGTTTTACATTTTTTGATGAAATTATTTTGTGGTCGTAGGAAAAATATTGTACATCACTTGTGTGAAAAGTGATTTTCCACACTCGTAATGTAATATACTATATAATTGCAAGTTGATTTACAAATGTATGACGGTAGGTTTTTTTAAAATCTCACTAGTTGTACTGTGACATCAGGAATGCATATTTTCAAAAAGTACTACTCAATATGGTATTTTAACGACAAAATATACAAGGTAATTTATTTGTTGGAAGGTATTATCTTTAGAAGTACAGAAACCACAAATGATTATGAAATTTTTTGGTTTTCTTAGCATATCAAAATTTTACCACCGTTTTAGGAGATATTAATTTTAAATCTGATACTATGACCAGTTTTTGAGATGTTTAACCTTTTATCTTTGTTATTTTCGTTGCTTTGTAGATGATTTCTGATTTTCATGATACCCAAAGTGGTCTATATCGACCCCTAAGGGATGAAGATGACTCACAAGGGGTCTATGTGAACGAAAAAAAGAATTGGGGGCCTGTGGGATATAAACAGTGGTCTACGATAGTCGATCTTATTTAAGCGAGTCGCAACTTTAATTGGAAACACCCACACACAGAGATGATTTGTTGCTTAGTTACTACTAGGAGCCGTAGGTATTCTGTAACTATGGAAGATGGAAGTAGGAGCATGAGTACTCTCTGGATATGGCCTTGTACGCATGTCACTCGCCTTAAATTGTGTTAACGGTGAGAACAGTGTTGCAAGATGTACGGTAATTATCGTTAAAGTTATGTATTTTTTCTGAAAAGTAAGACATTATAGAGTGAGGATGGAAAATTTTGCCCCCCTTCCTCCTAAATGGAAGAAGATAGAGACATGAAGCAAAAACGAGATACTATAATATTTTTGTTATAACGAGATGTATTTTACTTGAGCTAGAGGGCGTTCCTATCTTTAAATATTCTAATGAAAAGTAGGGTTATGATATATCTCATTTGAAAGGTATTTTCATTATCTTTACGGCCATGCAGTTTTATGTTTTTTTTTGTTTTTACAGCGGTTGATTAAATAAATTAATGACGCTACATTCTTGATAAATCTCATATTTACTATTATTGTTTATTACTAAGGAAATACTTTTTACAAATTAAAAAGACACAGTATTTACTAAAATAAATAAATATATAAAGAATATTGAAAGTTATGTAAATGTTCTTCAATAACTTCTTGGCACTAAAAAAGTACACACATTTAAGTAGTATTACCTTTCCCAAAAGTAAATTCAAAAGTACAGGTTTTTGAAGAAATTCTTTAAAAAAATGATTGTATTTTGTGGTTCCCTTTATAAAACATAATTAAAAATGTGTATTGTGCAATATTTTGTCGCCAAAATACCATATTTAGTATTTTTTGAAAATATGCTGTCTGACGTCACAGCAGAGTTAGTGAGATTTTACAAAAAACTACCGTCGTACATTTGTGATTCACTCTGTAATTATAAACATCTTTTTTTGTAAGTATGTACTAATATATTATTAAAACATGTATATAAACGTGTTTATGCAACAGAAATTCAATCTACCCCATAAGTTTGAAAATAAAAATTCCGAAAAACTGGGTAATTTTCAACTATCTCGAAAACCAATCATAGGATTGAGCCCAGACCACATACTTTGATTACTATACGGGGCAAGAGAGAGGTCCGACACGCCCAACATAGGGCGCGGTCATTTTGAACCCTATGACACAGTTTATAGCTAAAGAATCAGATCGCTCACTCTGCGTCGGCACCTATTATCTCAATGTTCCAGTTTATTTACTGCGCGACTCAGATAATACAATATATGACAACCGCCTATAATAAAACAGCAGTTTTCTGCGTATCCTGAATTTGTATTCTTGGAGTGGATGTTATTTTGAAACTTTCAACTGGTCCGAGTGAGCTAACTGATTCTTTAGCAATAAACTGTGATTCCAAAAATAATATTCACTGACACTGACAGCAGCAAGCAAAATATCAGGTGCGTTTTAATCATCCGCTTCTGCTTCCGGAATTGTCGGTTCAGTCGTTCTAACCTGTCAGATTAAAACAAGAAAACCTACAATTCCGAAGCAGAAGCGGATGATTAAAACGCACCTATTAAAAATATTGCGCCAAGATGTAGGCAACACGTAATAAGGGTTCAAAATGGCGGAGTTTTCTATCTCCTTTTAAAAGGCACTCAGAAAGCTGCGCAGTGCGACCATTCTCCGTATAGTAAAAGAAAATCAAAGTATGTGGCCCAGACCCATTGATACGATTGGTTTCTAGTTTGTGTTGGGTACAACAAAATACACCAAAGTTTCACAAAATTTGACCGGTCGCCACTTTACATAAGGAAAGTGCGTGATCCTTTTATTGAAAACAAAAATGGAGGATATAATGATTAAAGGTCTATTTATACTCCCTTATTATTAAGGATTAAGTTGAACTTTCACAATGTAATGGGTAGTACATTTATACTATATTTATGATTATTATTAGCATTATTATTTATGTTTAATAATAATTGACAGGTTCAACTTCTATGTTAAATCTTAAATTTCTTCTTCTTTCTATCTATCAAATGAATCAATGACGTATTTGGCCTTTGTGTATAATAGACAACGGGTAATGATAATTGATAATTAGGCATTCCAAACTGAATGGCTACCAGTGGGTTCTGACGGGTTATGATATGGCAAAATTATGGCAACCCTGTAGGCCTGGTGATTTGACAAGGTCAATGAAATAGATAGTTACATAGATTGATCATCCATATTTTTCAAAATAAACATAAGCTTATGCCTTGAAGTAAAAATGTAAGCAATTATTCTTTTTTTAAATATCTAAAGGCTAAAAATTGGTTTTAAAACACATTTTTGCTAAACCGATTCAAATTAATAAATATTTGCCAGGCAATATGGCCGCTCGTAAACGACAAGCTTTGAGCAATCTATATAACTATATATGTATCATTGACCCTGTTAATGACAACATGACAACAGGGTTGCCATATCTAAACTGTCATTACCCACTGGTAGCCATTTGGACAGGTCGTTGGAATGCCCAATACACATATGATTATGTTGTCAGATGTTGTTTATAGGTTTGTTCCAACGAGCTCGAAAACGATATTTCGGTACAAATTGTGCGCTGTATACATATAGCTGTATACATGTCACCACGAGGAAGCAAAGGTATCTTTTCTGTCTGATTTATTTCAAATTTCTACTTATCTTTATCTGTTTGAGACGTAAATCCGTTAAAATGTCCTTAATTTAACCTATTCATGAATAATAACATTTTTAAATAGAATTAACTAGTCAAATCTCTTAAAAAATATTCTAAGACAACTGGCCTCTTACACATTTCTTCAGTAACCAACATTTTGTTGACTGCAGAATTATATCTTATTAGGAAAAAGATTATTAAAAAAGAAGCACTAATACTAATTGTAAAACGTGTATAAATATCCTTTTTGAATATTTTGTCCAGTTTAATGCTTAATCATAATACTAATACATATACTCAATAATAAGTGAGTATAAATAGACCCTAACATTTTATATATTAATTTAGCTGCAAAAGTATTTTTGTTTTTTTTTACGAGTGATCCAGCGGGTATTATTTTTTAGAACTGAACCCCTTTTTTGTTTATAGAGAAAACTTAACAGTTGTTTTTTAAAGTAGCAACTGCGTTATTAAAAGATTAAATAGAATATATAGAAAATTGGATTCGAAATAATTGATGTAAACACTTTAGGTATTTCCTTACTTGTCCTGCAACGCTGTAGCAAAGAAGAAGAATTATTTTCAAAGGTGTTTTCGCCTTAAATGCTCTGTGTGTAAAATATCTATGAGCTCCTGCTGTGATTCCAAATCCTGAGATTCCACCAATTACAAAACCTGAAAAATGTATTTTTTGTTAATGATTTTTTACAAAGAATATTTAGCCTACTTATATATACCGAATTTCCAAATAAAGATGGAGGTCACCCATATCTAAGGAACTGTTTATTTTACCGGTCCGTAGTGATCGCTAGAAATTGGTTCATAACTTCGTAATTGGGAAGCGTAATGGCCAATGATAAAGACACTATTAAAAAAAACAAAACAAATTTAATTATATCAAACATATGATATAATCGTAATCTGTGAGAAATTTTGATAAAGTTTTAGTGCCCACTTCTTTATCTGTTTATCAATGGTCATAAGCATTACGCAATCTAGTGTCGAAGTTATAAACTTTTCTAATGATTCCACTTGATTTTTGTTACATTAAAATTGTACGAAGCAGACTTATTCCTACAGCGGGCGTCTTCTTTTTAATGGCATACTCGGTACAATTCTGCAATATGAATATATTCCTTTTATGCATATACTTTAATTACTATACGGTGCAAGAGAGAGGTTCGACACGCCCAATATAGAGCGCGACCATTTTGATTCCTATGCCACAGTTTATAGCTAAAGAATCAGATCGCTCACTCTGCGTCGGCACTTTTGATCTCAATGTTCCAGTTTATACACTGCGCAACTCGGATAATACAATATATGACAACCGCCTATAATAAAACAGCAGTCTTCTGCGTATCTTGAATTTGTATCCCTGGAGTGGATGTTATTTTGGAACTTTGAACTGGTCCGAGTGAGCTAACTGATTCTTTAGCAATAAACTGCGACTCCAAAAATAATATTCACTGACACTGACAGCAGCAAGCAAAATATCAGGTGCGTTTTAATCATCCGCTACTGCTTCCGGAATTGTCGGTTTAGTCGTTTTAACCTGTCAGATTAAAACAAGAAAACCGACAATTCCGAAGCAGAAGCGGATGATTAAAACGTACCTATTAAAAATATTGCGCCAAGATGTGGGCAACACGTAATAAGAGATCAAAATGGCGGAGTTTTCTATCTCCTTTTAAAAGGCAATCAGAAAGCTGCGCAGTGCGACCATTCTCCGTATAGTAAAAGAAAATCAAAGTATGAGCTTTTATGAAATACGAGAATGAGGTCTAAAATATTGTTACGCAGCACCCTGCAGCGTGCTAGGGTTGTCATAAGTAAAGGTGCGAGTAAAAGAAGATGGCGGAATATTCGAGAAATGTTATTCCACGTCAAGGAAAATCTGGACAGTTCGAGAAGTCCTGACGTTAGTCAGTCAGTTTTATGATAGATGTTATACGTCATAGTTATACGTTAATGTTATCAGTTGTGAGTTGAAATGGATTGAGATACCGAAACACCTGCGTAACATTGGTGACAGCGGTAGGATACAAAATAGAAGTTCATGGTAAATACTAGATCCACTTAGTAAGAAACAGGCATGGATACTTCAGGTCCCCCAGCATGGTTTTTAAAGATGGAGGAGGAAAAGGAAAGGCGTAGGAAGAAAGAAGAGGAGGAAAAAGAAAGGCGTAGGAAGGAAAAAGAGGAAGAAAAGGAAAAAGAGAAGCAAGAGAGGCGTAGAAAAGCTGAGGTAGAAATTATGAATGGTTAGCTGCACAATCAAGAAAGCCTTAAACAAGAGATAGGTCAGCTAAACAGCCGAATAGATCTCTTAACACAATAACAAGATAATTTAAAAGCCAATTTAGAACAGCAGCAAGAGAATCTAAAAACCAATTAAGAGAACTTTAAACGAATTTAGAACAACAATAATTTAAAAACTAATGTAGAGCAACAACAAGAGAATTTAAAGACTAATTTAGAACATCAACCTGAAAATTTAAAAGCTAATTAAGAGCAACAGCAAGAGAATTTAAAAGCTAATTTAGAACAACAAGAACAGGCTAGAGTAGAGTTGGAAAGTCAAATTAGAGCGGAAATGGTTGAGTTAGAGAGAATAATTCGTAGCCAAGCTTCCGTAAGCAACATTCAAGCTGAAAACACTACCTCGTCTTCATCTATAACTGAGCCAAGCCATATTCAAACCCTAGTCTCACAAAATTATAGTAGCAAGACCCTGAAACCACCCACTTTTGACGGTCAAACAACATGGGAAACATATCGACTCTAATTTGAAGCTGCAGCTAGAGCCAATGGCTAGGCCGGTTTCATTGATAGTGTCACTGCGAGGTCAGGCAGCAACCGTTTTACAGTTACTTCCCCAAGAAGAACCCAGTTATTCATCTCTCGTCCAAACTTTGAAGACAAGATATGGCCAGCAACATTTGAAACAGGTATTTCAAAGCCAGCTAAAAGTTCGTAGTCAGAAACACAATGAAAGTCTACAAGAATTTAAAGCCGATATTAAAAGATTGATTCATGTGGCCTATCCACAGGCGCCCAAAGATTTCCAAGAACAATTCAGAATACAGGCATTCATTGATGACTACAAAATGCAGCAAGCCTTTCGTCTACAACATCACAAGACGTTGAAAGAGAAACTGATTGCAGCACAGGAATATGAAGCGGTAAAAATCCTCTCCAGATCTTCTTGCGCAAGAAGAAATCACCCTTGAAAGCCTGAGAAAGTCACACCTACTTGACAAGAGATAGCCAAATACAGTGAAGCTATTAAAGGGTACTGGAGTCAGTGGGATTTCCTGAATCTTCACGATGGCCTATCGCACCGGAAGTGGGAGAGTCCCGACAGAGTACATGTAGCCCTCCAAGTGGTACTGCCGAAATAACATGTCAGAAATATCTTGAAGGAGCTTCATAGCTGTTGTTCGGGAGGACATTTTGATACTAAAAGGACACTGGCACGAGTTCGGGAAAGATTTTATTGAGTCAATTGCTGAAGGGGTGTAGCGGATTGGTGTAAAAAATGTGATCTATGCAATGGCAGGACAAAGTTCTACGGATTCGCTAGGAAACGTCTGAAAGCCAACAGCGACAAAACAGAAGCTAGAATCGACATTCGTGCCACCGGGACACATTTTGAGAGAGGCGACCCAGTATGGCTATGCAATCTCAAGCACCGATGAGGACTTTGTCAGAAATCACAACGGAACTGGGAAGGCCGCTACGCCGTCTTTAAGGAAAATCAACGATCTGATCTACCGCATTCATCTGTCAGCGGGAAGTAAATCCACGGTAGTTTACATTGAAAAATTAGCGCCATGCGGTGGTCCAGATCCTCCCCGTTAGCTCCAACCAGGTCCCAGTAATCAAGTTATTCGGGGCGAATAAGTAGAGAGGAGGGAGCAATGTTACGCAGCAACCTGCAGCGTGCTGCGGTCGTCTTAAGTAAAGATGCGAGTAAAAGAAGAAGGGGGAATATTCGAGAAATGTCATTCCACGTCAAGAAAAATCTGAACAGTTCGAGAAGAATCGAGAAGTTTAAAGCGAGCTATATAAATCAGTGATCCTGACGTCAGTCAGTTAGTTTTATTCGTTATTCCTTATTGTTATCAGTTGTATAGTATTGTAAAAGGGTGTCACAAAATTGATCCAAAACATTTAATCGAATACATTTGATCGAAAAAACATTTTATCGAATAACAATTGATCGAAAAGAAAAATGATCGAACAGAAAAATGATCGAAAATATTGTATGGAGTGAACAAATAAAAAAATGTTTCTAAACTAGGGCTTGAATTAATTCACGTATGTCTGAGAATGCAATTATTATTTTAAGTGTCGGTTTGGATTTAATTCATAGCCGTGACGTAACTCATATCTTTGTCTTTGTCGATTATGACCTACTTTAAAAACATGTTTTGTGGATCACTCTTTACATTTAGTCCTAGTTAAAGACGAGGAAAAAAATTAAAGATCATACCAAGAGCTTGACATAGTAATTCGTAGCCCTAATATGTCATAAAATAACTACTCATTTAGATAATACCGCAACAGGCATAACTTTAAATAAATAATGGATTTCGTCACAATAATTGCTTGTTCTGGAAGTAAAAGAGGCCACTATTTAAGGTGGAAATGCTTTCATGATCGTTTCTAGTTTCAAAAATAGTCCCAATCGACGATTAAGGGGATTAGAGAGCAAATTAACACTTTTATTTAAACTTCAGTTCAAAATGGGATTCTAGTTTCTTTTGGCTGATGGTTAAAATATTTAGATTGTAATTTGTTATTTTCAAAAAATCGTATACTATGTCGATCTACCCATAGAAGATTTCTGAAACAGCCTGTTTTTTAACAATTTAAATAAAAATCGATTAATATCCTTTCACGATAATGCACTAAGGATTGACCATGAAACAAATTAATAAATTGGTATTAATCAAATTTTGACCACAAATTTTTGAAATTTTAGATCTGTCAAGGTTTATTATAGGAATTTACATGAAAGACAAATCATTATTAAAAAGAATGATACGTGGTAATCATTGCGAAATTACACAAATTACAATAATAAAACCATAAATATATATATTTATTATTTCAAAATGAGATAAATATCTTGATAAGCTACATTTATTTGCAAAAGAAATTGTATAAAGGGAAGTGAATATTTTTGGAAATATATTAGGAATGTACCATATGCATAAAAATAATTAAAATAATTATACATGGTGTTTAATTAATAATGGGCCAAGTAATAACTGGATAATCCTTGGCTTAAAACATGAAAATTTAAGATAAAACATGCTTGTTTACTGAAATACAGATTTCATACAAAACAATTATTGTTAATATTAAAATCTTGCGATACACCAAAACGTTTATGTTTACTTAACAAAAAAAAAAACAATGTATTCCTTTATTCGTATGTGCAATACATAAACATTAAAATCAGGATGTCGTTCAATCGCAAATATTGCAAAATACTTTATGGCAATGAAACAAGAGTAGTTATGATTAAAATATTGGAAAATTGATATCAATTAATACTAAAATGACGATTACAACAGTGACGTAGAATGCTGTACGCCTTTGGTAATAGTAAGACATTTTTTTACCACTTTATTGTGTTATAAAATGCTTAAGCCTTTTGAAAA